GGACTCAAGCTGAAGAACGGGGTGGTGGAGGACCTGATCACGGTTCACAAGGCCCCCGCCAGTTTCCCAGCTACGAGGCCCATAGGGCCTGGGCGGGAGGTGACGACATCCTGGGGTGAGGCCATGACGGCCTTGGGGGAAACAGAGGGCTGTCAGGAGGCATTGGCGAACGGATTCGCGGCCTTCATGCAGGGAGCTGAGGAGGAGCTGGGCAGCTTGTTCCATATCCCGAAGGTCGACATGCCGAAGTACACAAGGCGAGGGCTGGAGCCGCGCTTCGTCAAGATACACCCCACGAGGAGGAACAACGCGGCGGTGGCGAAGGCATCCCCAGAGGCTCGTCAGGCCCTCTGGCTGCATGACCGTCTACGTGAGCTCCAGCGGGCGTGCGAGAGAGACGAGCTGAGGCACCGCCAGGCAGCGAAGCGACTCCTCAACACTCTGGAGCACTGGAACGGCTCCCTCATGAAGACTCAAGATTGGCATCACTTCGAGGCGTATTGGCAGCGGTTGCGCAAGCTCACGATCGACGACCTGGCCAAGCTGGCGGACCAGGCCCAGAATGTGAGCGTGCGCCTCTCCAAGGAGTTCGAGAAGGCACGCTGCCGCTCATTTGACACCTGGGCGAAGCAGGCCACGTTGAACGGCGCGGGCCTCGCCCGCAAGTGGACACGTGGGCCCACGGGTGCTGGGACAGGGCTGTTGGCCAACGGCGTGGCAGCGGACGTTCAGGATGCTGCCGACAAGTTCTGCGCTGACTGGCTCAAGCAGGTCTGGAATGTCCATGAGCCCATGGCAGCCACCAGCTGGGACGAGATCAAGCACCACGTGCTGGACGCGCCCACGGCTGGAGCGATCAGGACAGCGAGCAGGAGGTTCAAGCATCGGACGGCCCTGGGCTCCGACGCATTCCACCCACGGTGGTTCGCGATGCTGTCCGACGAGGCCCTGACCTTCTTGGGCCAGCTCATGGTGTACATGGAGAGGGTCGGCAACCAGCCGAAGCAGCTGACCACCATCATCGTTTTCCTCGCCAAGGAGGAGGGCGGGGTGAGGCCCATCGCTCTACTAGGAGGATTTCTTCGTGTTTGGACAAAGGTACGTCGGGCACAAATGCAGCAGTGGGAGGACGAGCATGACATGCCATGTTTTCACAACGCCAGCGGCAGGACGGCCGAGCGGGCCGTCTGGGACCAGGCCGTCTATCAGGAGTGGGCCCTCAAGGTCGACATGGTCACGGCCTCCAACCAGCTCGGCATGACCAAGGCCTACGAGAGGGTGGGCCACCAGACGCTCTGGGACGAAGGCTGCGCCAGCGGCGCCAACCTGGTGCTACTGCGCACCAGCATCAGCATATATGCGAGCCCTCGGCGGTGCAAGGTCGATGACGCGATCTCGGGCGAGGTCGAGTTGGGCTGCAGCATCTTGGCGGGATGCGGGTTCGCGACATCATGGCTGAAGGTCCTCATGTACCGCAGCCTGAGGCTGTTCGGAGGCAGGTGCCAGTGCATCCAGCTGTTCGCCTTCGTAGATGACATCACCATCCTCTGCATCGGGTCACAGCGGTTCCTACTCAAGGTAGCGGCGGATGGCCTGCAGTATCTCATCGAGCTCCCCCGCAAGCTGGGCTTCGAGATCAACGGCTCGAAGTCCACTATCGTGATCTCCACGGCGTACGCGGGCAAGTGGATCGCCGACAAGGTGCACACGCACACGGCGCAGCGGCTCCAGGTCAGGAAGCACCACCGCAACCTAGGTGTGGACTCGATGGTGGGGGCAAGGAGGCGCACCAAGGTCATGGACGCAAACTTCGACAAGCAGAGGCGCCGCCTCGGACGAGTCACGTGCCTCAGGCGCCAAGGCGCAAAGTCGGGCAAGGTGGGCAGGATGGGCACGCAGCCTGCAATGACGTACGGTGCCAGCGTGCTCGGCAGGAGCGGCTCGCAGCTGCACGCGATCAGGGCGGCGGTCGGAGCGGCGATGTTCACCGACACGGCGAGGCGCTCGCTCACGTTGTCCTTCATGCTGGAGGGAGGCAAGCAGGACCCAGCCTACGCCGTCACCGCGGCGCCGTTGGTCGAATGGGCGAAGGCGGTCTGGACTAAGCGCATCCCCACCCACATACTGCAGGGAGCACTTGACCGAGCAGAGGCGACTCAGCGGAACAAGTTGCACCCGTGGACCGCCGTGGTCGGGCCAGCGGGGGCGATGCTAGCCACGGCAATGAGGATAGGTTGGCAAGTTATTTCGGCCAGCAGGTGGACATCTCACGACGGCGAGGAGCTGGAGCTGGGAGAAGGCGTGGGGCCACGGGCGATCAAAGGTTTGCTGGACAGAGCCATCGAGCGGTGGCAGTACACGCAGATAAGTATGCATGAAGGGCTGGAGCACCTCAAGGATGGCATTCACCTGGAGCCAGTGCGCAGGGTCATCCGCAACCTCGAGAAGCATGGCCTGCAGCAGGAGGCGCGCGGCCTGCGCTCCACCGTCATCGGAGCACAGTGGCCCCAGCAGCAGCTGCACGCCGCGGGTCTTGCTGACTCCCCGCTGTGCCAGCGCTGCGGAGAGGCCCCTGGCACGCTCCCGCACCGCCACGGTGCATGCGTGGCGTGGACGCGGGAGCGCAGGGCGAGCGAGATCGGCCAGGTCCGCTTCCCAGAGGGCACGCTCACCGCGATGCAGGAGGCGTTCTGGGGCAGGTGCCTGCTGCCCAACTGGAACGCGGAGCCGAGGCCATCGAGAGCGTGGCACACGGTATGGAGCGTGGAGGTCCCAGGAGGTTTCTTCATGGACGACGGCTTCGTGGACGGATCAGGGCGTAGCCTCGCAGGTCCTGATGGCATGCGAGTGGGTTTCGGCTGCGCATCGGTGGACCACCTCGGGCGAGTCACGGGAGCCTGCCACGGGCCATCTCCTGGCTGGCTACAGGAGGTGGGAGAGGGCGAGCTCTTCGCAGTGGAGGTCATGCTGCAGCACGCCGTGCCCCCGTTCACCATCTACAGCGACTACCAGGACCTGCTCGACGGCATCGCCGCGGGGCCGGCCGTGTGCTGCGCGCCTGGCAAGGCCTACGCTGAGCAGTGGAGGAGGATCTGGCGTCTGATCATGGACATCGGGCAGGATCAGCTTCAGTTCCGCAAGGTCAAGGCCCACCAGGCCATCACCCAGCTCGCGTACGGATCGGTGGAGCGGCGGCTCGCCCTTGGCAATCACGCCGCCGACACCGAGGCCAAGCTGGGAGCGGCCTGCCACCCCTGCAGCTCGCAGGCCGAGGAGGAGCGCTTCGCCTCCCAGCAAGGGGCGGCGGGCCGCATGGCTGGCTGGGTGGCCCAGGTGTGCGTGCTTGCCAACGGGAGCCAGAGGGACACCACGGGCAAGCAGGTTCTGACGAGGGCCCCGAGGCATGAGGAGCAGCACGGCATGGTGCGTGCCGCCAAGCGCCGCCGCACCCAGCCTTGCGGGCAGCCAGCGCCCGAGCTCGGCAGGAGAGTCGACGCGAGCCTGAGCATGGAGCACGACGACCAGGACGGCGACAGCAGCGGAGGCGAGCCGCCTCCGCGCGGGGCCGCGGTGCTGTCGGCGGCGGCGCTCGCGGCGGCAGCTGGGAGCGCAGGCCTGGCGGGGGGCTCCGACGGCGTGACCGACGACAAGGACCTGGCCCAGCGTGGCAGCGCTGGCAGCAGGGGCGAGGCCGACCCCGCCGCGCCCCGCGGGGCCCAGCAGGGGACGGCGAGCCAGGCCAGCGGCGGTGGCCCCGAAGGCCTGGCGGGCGGTTGGGCAGCGCGGGTCACCCCGCGGAGCGGCCAGGGCTGCAGCAGCCAGGCCTGCCACGACGACGAGGACAGCGACGACGCGCCGCTGGTGCAGCCGCGCAGGCAGGCGGCACCGCGACGACGGCAGCTCTACACGGCGAAGGGCACGCTGGCTCGAGGAGGTGACAAGCGGCCTCGCGAGGCCGAAGCTCGGCAAGCAGCGCTGGAGGCGAGCAGCAGCCAGGCCGATGGCAGGACTGCCAGCCTGGACGGCATCGGCCGCCGCGTGGCGGCACGGCTCCAGCGTGAGCGAGGGCCTCAGCTCTTCATGCCCGACGACGAGGGCAGCGTGGTGGGCCTGCCGCTGCGGCACCGTGCGCAGTGGGTCGGCGGCGACAGCGCGCTGCCCTTCGCATGCGACCGCTGCGGGGTCCGCTGCAGGGACCGCGCCCAGTTGGAGGCGGGGCTGTACCGCGGGGCGCCTGCTGCTGTGCTGGCGGCCGACGCCTCGCACCGCCTGATGACCATGGGCGACGTGGTGTTCTGCAGCGCGTGTGGTGCAAGGGCGAGCGGGGGCGCGGCGGTCCTGCTGGCGACGAAGTGCTTGGGCAAGATCGCCAACGCCACTGCGGGCACGAGGCTCAACAGGATGAAGGCGGGGAAGCACCCGATCAAGGGCCACTTCATTGGCGAGCCCGTCCAGCTGGAGGCGCGCCTAACGGAGGCCCCAGCGGACGAGGTGCCGTCATCGACATGAAGTTCGTGGGCGGCTCGCCGCCCAGCTTGGGCACTGCTGCGGCCGTTCGGCCTGCTGGGCGGCAGCGGGAGGGCGCTGGGCGGCGTGAGGCCCCTGGCGGGGCGCGGAGGCGGCCTGCGCCGTGCCGCGCCTGCGCCGAGGTGGGCTGGCGGCTGAGGCCGTAGGCCCGTGCCCGCCCGCGCGGCGGCGGCGGTCGGCGCCGTGCCGCGAGGGCGTGCCGCGCCCGCGGCGGCGAGGCGGGGGGCCGCCGCGCCGCTCGGGCGCTCGGGCGGCGCGCCGAGACAAACGGCCCGCCGCGCAAGTGGGTGCGGCTCCTCCTCCTCCTCCTCCTCCTCCTCCTCCTCCTCCTCCTCCTCCTCCTCCTCCTCCTCCTCCTCCTCCTCGGGTCGCATACGGCCCATGGGGCCCCCTCCCCCCCCACCCCCGCGGGCACTCCCTGGCCGGCCTCCTCCGTCTCCCGCCTCCCGCCGCTGGCTCCGCTTCCCGCCCAGGCGTCTGGGAGCACCTCCGAGAGGCGGAGGGCGCGCTCGGCGCGGAGCGTCCAGGCGCGGGTCCTTCGCGCGGGCGTCGTCGTCGTCGTCGTCGTCGTCGTCGTCGTCGTCCTCCTCCTCCTCCTCCTCCTCCTCCTCCTCCTCCTCCTCCTCCTCCTCTTCCTCTTCCTCGTCCTCCTCCACATTGTTCTCGTCCTCGACGTCGTCCTCGTCCTCGTCGTCGTCGTCGTCGTCGTCGTCGTCGTCGTCGTCGCCGTCGTCCTCGGGAGATTGCACCGAGCTGGAGGGGCGCGCTCGGCGCGGAGCGTCCAGGCGCGGGGGCCGTCGCGCGACGCGTCGTGCCCCGCCGCGCCGTCGGGGGTCGAGCCGGCGGGGAGGCAGCGGCAGGAGCAGGCAGGTCGGGGGATTTTGGAGGGGATTTTGGAGGCGAGTGTGCGGCAGCCGGAGGGGAGGCGGCGGCAGGAGCAAAGTCCCCTACAGGGGGCTCTTGGACAAACATAAGGTGACACCCCCCCAAACAAATTCAAACCTAGTGAACACATGCTAGGAACACGGCCCCCATACTCATATGTTTGACTATTTTCGAATGTGCCTCCTGTGGAGGGACCGGCCCGACTTGAGGCTGGAGGCGAAGACTGCGGAGGAGAGGACGAACAGAAGGTGGAGAGTGTGTGTGTGTGTGAGTGGTGGACGGGTAGGGGTGCTGCTGATTATGCTGCTGATAATGATGACGACGATGATGATGAGACTGCTGCTGATGATGGTGAGGTTGTTGCTGACGCTGATAAGGATACTGATGACGATGATTGTGGTGATTATAATGGTGAGGAGGAGGAGGAAGATAAGGATGATGATGATGAAGATGATGCTGACCTGATGATGGTGCCGATGATGATGGCGATAGTGGTGATGATGACGACGATGATGATGACGATGAGCTTAATGTTGCTGATGGTGACGATGAATATGATGATGACGCGGATGAGGATGAGGATGTTGATTATGATGAGGCTCGTGACGATCGTGATGATCATGATGACGATGCTGCTGATCCGGATGATGGGTGATGAAGTTGTTGTTGATGATGATGATGATGATGCTGATGATGATGATGACGCTGATGTCGATGATGGCGCTGATGCTGACGCTTATGTTGCTGATGCTTCTGTTGACCTGATGATATTAAGTATGATGACGACGAGAATTATGCGGAGGAGGACGAGGAGGAGAAGATGACTAGGGCGACGAGGAGGAGGAGGAGGAGAAGTCCTTGAAGCCGGTGGGCAGCGAGGAGGAGGGGGAGGAGGAGCAGGAGAAGGAGAAGGCTGATGATGACTATAAGGTGGAATGGACGAGTAAGAGAATGACGAGGAAGGAATATGACGATACACAGTCGCTACACCTGTCTAACACCTGTTCCTTTCGTTCCCTTTCTCACGGTATTTCTTACGCTTCTCTTCTACTCGCTCGTAGGTTTGTCCATGGCTCTCTTCCCTCATCCCTGCCATCCCCTCGCTGGCCCTGCTAGACCGCGCCGTTTTTTCCCGTGCAGGGACAAGGCACAGATTGTTGTTTTTGCTGCTGTTGTAGTTGAGTTTTCAATACTGAAGAATATTTGTTGTTGATCCCCCCCTCCCTTTGACCATTGTATCTTTCAATTGACGTGCTTCCCCCGGGACTCGCACCCTGGTCTTTATCAGGGAAGGTCATTGGGCTCAAACTGTGTTGTTGGCCCCCGGTTCAAAGCAACAGCGGTTTTCTCCTGATACTTCGTCACCATTAATTCCCAACTCGCGCTCTCGCGCGGGACTTCCTCACAATGTTTGTACGAATCGCGCTCTCGCGTGGGACGCCCTCGCAGTTTATTCAGACGATGCGCCCTCGGCGCTCAGGAACCACGCTCTCGCTTTGGCTTGTCTCACGATTTAACCTGGAATCGCGCTATCGCTCGAGACCTCCTCGCGATTCATGCAGGACCCACGCTCCAGCAACCCGCCTGCTCGACCTGGTCGCCTGGGCCCGCCTTCCCGACCTGCCCGCTATGGGTCTTGCCACCCGATCTGCCCGTCTGGTTCTACCAGTTGGCTTCTGCCCCTTGCACCCCTCCTGCAAATGGCTTTCTTTCTGCATGCTTCTCCCTCCCCCTTCCACCCGTCTGCTTTTTTCTTGTTTTAGGGGCTGCACTACATGCACGTGGCAGGTAAGGAATATGTGTATATATATAGATATGTATAGACATCCCCACGGGGGTACGATCCCAGACGACGATGGCGAGTACTGAGGGTTTGTGATATACGTGTTGGTTGGCGCGTGGGCAGATAGGAGCGAACAGTCTTAAAATGAGTATTGTTGTTGTTGTTGTGGATGTGGTTGTGGATGTGGATGTGGTTGTGGTTGTTGTTGTTGTGGTGTCGGTGGTGGTTGCTGTTGAAATCTAATGTTCGGAGAACACCTGTTGTTGACCCCCGCGCCCGATCACCATCGTGTTTTTCAATTACAGTGCTTCTCCCGGGGCTCGCGCCCTGTTTTTTTTCTCAAGAGAAAGCGAGGTGCCACCAAACTGCACCCCTGGCCCCCTGTTTACAATACAACAACAACGGCTCCCGCCTGAATTTCCTTCACAATGTATTCCCACATCGCGCTCTCGCGTAGGACGTCTTCAGACATTGTATAACATCGACCAAGAAACGCACGACACCGCCCCACCTACGGCGCGCCGTGCGGGATGTTTGCGACCTTGCCTCGCTGTCCTTCGCGTGGTGTTTCCTGGCTCCTGGCCGCCGACGGCATGATGGTGACGTGCTGGGCAGTCGTAGTTCGACATGACTTCGACGTGCTGGTTAAGGCCACTTCATTGTCAATGCGGGCAGGTTGTTCTGTCAGTTCGCCGCTTGTCTGGGCGGTGTCGTCGCGCGGTATGAGGGCTGCTGCATCGCCGGATGTACAGGCTTCTTGTCACGCGGGGCACAAGTTGAGTTTGCTTGGTGTTGGGATGGTGAATTGATCAACCCTTGCGGGTTCAGCGTGTAGGCTGTAAGGTTCTAGAGCCTGGCGCAAGCTTCCGACGCATCGCGTGGTTTCGGCGGTGCCGGGTCGGACTTGGCCCTCGCGCGCGCGTTTTGACAGTGCGCGTCAGATTCGGGTCGGGCATCTCGCGAGGCGACCAGAGGCTACCAGAGTAGTCCTTGGTTTGGTGTCCATTACTGTATAACTTCCTCGGCGTCGTCCTTGGCGCGCGGCGGCTGTCGTCGTTTTGCGCGGGCGAGCTGAGCGGGCGCCGTCGCTTGCGCGGGTGCTTCTGGGTCAGTTGCGGGAGCCTGCGCGTGCCGGCGGGCGGGCGCCTTGCCAGCTGGCTGTCAGCATGGGTTTCGCGTTTCCTTGGCGACCCGCAGGCGCCTTCCGCATTCGCCGTTTCTACTGGCAGGCCGCGGCAACTGCGCGCCGCAACGCGTGCAGCACAAGCCTCGGGCGTCGGTGCCATCACTCGGGCTCTTTCGCCCGCCCACGTGCCCCATGCATCAATCAATCATCTATCCATTTCTCCTCCCTCTTCATGCATTATCCCTGCTCCCTGGTCCGTCCATCGTCGTTTCCGGTTCAGACGTCATCAGTTTCCTTCCATCTTCTTTCCGCCTCGCTTTTCCTACCTCCTCCTTCTTCCATCCTCCTGCATTTTCTCGGATGGTTCCTTTTCGTTCCTTCTCCCCTTGCCTCCCTCCTCCCTCCTGCCTCCCTCCTGCCTCCCCCCTCATCCCTCCTGCATCCTCCTTTCTCCCTCCTCCTGCTTTTCCCTCCTCTCCTCCTTCGCCGTTCCCTAGCCGTTCACTCACTTCGCGAGCGCCCCCGTCCCCGTCTGCTTCCGCCGACTGGTCTGCCCATTTTCCCTTCTCGTCCCTCCCCCCTCCTTCCTCGTCCTCCTCCGTTCTTCCTCCCTTCTTCTTCCTCCCCTTTTTCCTCTCCCTGTCTCCCCCCCGTCCCTCTTCCTGCCCCCCCCCCCCCCCCCCCCCCCTCTCCCTCTGCCCCTGCCCCCCTTCCGCCGCCCTCCACCCTGCTGCCTCTCTCCCCCGTCGGAGCCCTCCTGCTTTCTCCCCTTTCGCCCCCCCGTCCTCCTCCGTCTCGTTTTCCTCCCCCCTCCCTCCTCCCATCCTCCTCCGTTTCCCTCGTCGCCCTCCTCCTCGTCTGCGCCCCTCCTCCTCGGACCGCCTGCGGGGTAGGGCGCCGCTGATGGCGGCGCAGGTCGCGCCGGCTTCCTGGGAGGCCCCCCTTTGGGGCCCCAGAAGGGGGGCGCCGGCATGAACGCGGGCCGCCCCGCGCATCGGAAGAAACCGATCAGGGCCGCAGCGTATACCATACAAAAGCCATGGTATACGCAACGGCCACTGCAGTGCCGTAGCGTATACCATGTAAAAATACCCGGCAAACGAGAGGCATGCGCTACGGCCCCCCCCCCTTGTCTTATCAAGGCGGGCGGGCCCCCGGCCGCTTTGGTTCGGGCGCGGCATCTCCAGTTTGGCCGCGCCTTGACCCCTGCAGCTCCCGCGGGGGCGCCCAGCGCCCCGGCCCCTCGCCGGAAACGTTGGCGCTTTCCATGCGGCTGTGTTTTGCAGCGCCTTTAGCGCCTCCCTGCGATTCCATCGTTCCCTCTCTCCTTTTTCGTCCTTCCTCCTTTCTTCCATTTTCTTGTTTCCTCATTTTTCCTCCCGTCCCTCCCCGTATTTTTCCCTCTTCCCCCCCTCCCCCCGTCCTTCTTCGGTCTTCGCTTTTCGCAGTATCCCGACCACCTTCCTTCCTTATTTCCCCTCTTTCCTCGCCTTCCCTTTGCCTCCTCCCCGTCCCTTTTCATTGATCTTGCCCCCGGCCTCTCCCCCTCTCGTCTCCCTTCCCGCCCCCCCTCGGCCCCTCCTTCCACTTCCCCCCCTGCCGCCTGCCTCATTCTCCTCTTCGCCCCATTCATATTTATGCCTCGCCTTCATTGTTTCCCCTCTCCTCCCCGTCTCCCTTTTTCTCAGTCCTGCTGCCGCCTCCTGCTTCCGCCACGTTAGCCCTCCCGGTTATCTTCGATTTTTTTTTGTCACAAGCGCAGCTGGTGGTTATGCAGCGTCAGCCGCGGGCGTGCGCGGCGGTGGCAGTGGCGGCGCGGGCGCTGCCCACATTGCCGCTGTTTTGTCCGCCCCATTCGGGTTCCTCGTGCCCCGCCCGCCGCCCGTTCCCTTATCCTCCGTTGCCATTTCGGTTCAAGCCATGTCGCTCTGTGGCTGCAGGCGCAGCTGGTGCCGCCGGCGCGACGCTGGGCCACTCGGCGGGCACCGGGGGGCCGCGCGGCGCGCGCCCCCAGTACGACGCCGGGCGGCGCGACAGGCGCAGCGGACATCAAGGTGAGCGCCGTGGCGGGCACCGTCGACGCGGTGCTGATCAGTTGGCCGCGACTAGCTCCCGTGGGTATATTTGCAGCGAGCGGCGCTCGGCGCGGCAGCGCAAAAGTGGGCGGCCCATCGGGCAGCGCGACCGCGGTGCAAGGCAGCGCGACGGGCGCGAATGGCTGGGCGCCGAGCAGCGCGACCGAACGCGACAACTCCATTTCGACAGTCACTAGGGGCCCGCATTCCGGACGCCAACAACGCGTTTTCGATCGCCGCGGCAGGTGCCATCGTCGCAGCGCGGATCAGTGCGGCGACGTCCAGCGCGGCGCCCGTTTTTTCCACTTCGCGGGGACGCGGCGGGAATTACGCCGCGATGCTGGCCCGCGCGACGAGCGCCGCGAGCGCGACGCATATCAGCTCGACGGGGTGCGGCGACGCTGTTGGAAAACGCTAGCGATTCGCGCGTCGCGCGCGTCGCTGGGCTGGGCGAGACGACGAGTGGCGGCAGCGTGCCGCCGAACAGTGCAGCCAGGTGCTGTGCGAGGCAAGCGGTGTGTACTCTGCGATCGGGAATCTCGCGTGGCCAACACGTGGAACCCGCGTCGCTGCTGCTGCGAACGGTGTTTGGGTGGCGTCCGGCGCCGGCGTGGCGCGGCGGCTTCCCGGCGCCGCCGCGGGGCCTTCGCGATGACAAGCCGAGGCCGCGTGGGGCAAGTGCTTGAAATTCCAGCGCCGTCGTGCCGTAGGCGGGGTGGTGTCGTGTATTTTTTGGTCCACAGATGTCGCGCTCTCGCGTGGGATTGCCGCACAATAGGTACAGAAGTCGCGCTCTCGCGTGGGACTTTCGCGCAACTGTTTTCATACGCCGCGCAACTCAGGTGTCACGCTCTCGCTGTCGATTTCCGGACGATTTATTTCGGAATCGCGCTGTCGCTAGAGACTGCTATACGACTTACGCGGCAACCTTGCTTCAGCAAGCCGCCTGCTCGACCTGTCCGCTTGGGCGCGCCTTCCCGACCAGCCCTTTAGAGTCTACCTGCCCGATCTGACCGTCTGGTTCTGCCACGTGTTTTATGCTCCTAGCCCTTCTCCTGCTACTCTCTCTCTCTCTCTCGTGCTCCATCCTCCTCCCTCCCCCTTGCCCATTCCTTCCATCCGCCCTTTTTCTCCTGATTTGGTCGCTGCACGAAGTACACATTGCAGGTGAGAAAAGTGTACCCCCAAAGAGGTACGATCGAAGGCGAAGCGGGCGGGTATCGCGAGGGTTTGGGATATACGTGTTGAGCGGCCAGCGAGCAGAGGACAGCGACCGGTATTCAAATGATTGCTTATGTTGAAGTTGTTGTGATTGATGTTGTGGTTGTTGCGGTTGTTGTTGTTTGTGTTGTCGGTGTTGTGGCTGTTGCTGTTGCTGGTGCTGTTGTCGTCGTTGTTGGTGTTGTTGCTGTTGTTGTTGCTGTGGCTGTTGTTGTGGATGTTGTTGTTGGTATTGTTGTTGCTGCTATTATTGCTGAAATTGTTGGTGTTGGTGTTGTTGGTGTTGCTTGTGTCGTTGTCCTTCCCTTCCTTTCTCCCTCCCTCCCTTTCCGCCATGCCCACCTCAGACGACGGCATCTTCCACTGCAACGCCCTGACGTCCCTGGTCCTGCGTCAGCTCTCGGACCCCCTCGCGGTGTGCACAGGCCGCGGTCGGGGGAGGGGGAGGGAGGAGAAGGGATGAGACGGAGACGAGGGAGGGAGCAGGAGGAGGAGGAGGAGGAGGAGGAGGTGGAGGTGGAGGTGGAGGACGACGAATCGGAAGAAGGCGGAGTATGAGGGGGAGGGGGAGGGGGAGGGAGAGGGGGAGGGGGAGGGGGAGGGGGAGGGGGGGGTGACTGGGATAAGGACAAGGAGGAGGATGAAGAGGAACGGGAATATGATGAGAACGATGGTGAGGACGTCTCATCTCCATCCTCCCTCTACCACCCTCACCCTCGTTATCCTTCCATCCCCTGAGCCTCCCACCACACCTACCCAATGTGAATGCTACGTTCCTCTCTCCCCCGAAGATGGCCAAGGAGTCGCCCGCCCCCCTCCGCGATGGTTTGCACACAAGGTCTCAAAGCTTGGCGTCTCAGCACGGTGTTGCCGCTGCTGCGGTGGCAGGACTTCGGGACAAGCGCTCTGGCCCCGGCGTGCCACGTGGAGCTCCCGCCCCAGCGCCGGCCTCCCATTCTGTGGACCCGAGTCTTGCCTCATCGTTGGCCTCGGATTCAACTCCTGGGAGGTCAAATTCTGATGTTTGCCCTGGTCCGGCTTTTAGTCCCGTTTAATCCCGCCTAATCCCTCTTAGTCCGGCTTAATCCCGCTCAATCCTTAATCCCGCGCGCTCCGGCTTAATCCCTCCTAATCTGGCTTAGTTCTGCTTAGCTCCCAAATGGGGCTTGATCCTCTTTGACCTTTCCGACGAAAGCCTCCCAGCAGTTGCCTCCTAAGTTGGCGCCCCCCTTTTCCCCTCCTCCGCCTTTACCTCCCGCCCATTCGTTCCCACTGCGCCCATTCCGTCTCTGTCCGCCGACGCGTGTCCACGCGCGGACCTGGAAGCCCCCCCCCCAAACAACCGCATCGTCGTCCCGTGCGTGATCGGACAAGACGGGCAAGAGGAGCTGAAGTCATAGGAGGAGGAGGAGGAGGAGGAGGAGGAGGAGGAGGAGGAGAAGGAGGTGGCGTATGAGCAGGAGGGGCAGCAGGACGAAGAGAGGGATGGGGGAAGGAGGAGGAGACCGACGAGGAGGAACGGCAGCATCGAGAGCCGGAGCAGAAGGAGCGGGAGACGCAGGAGGCCCACCAGCTCCTCTCTCCCAACTGTCCTGCTTTCCCGCCTCACTCTGCCCCTCCTCCCTTCTCCCCTTCCTTCTCCGCCTCCTTCTTCTCATCCCCCCCTTCCCCTTTTCCTGCTCCTCCCTTTCCCGCCCCATCCCCATCATCCCTCCTCGCTCGTCCAGCCTCCTGCACAGCCGGCGACTTCGGCGACGGCGACAACCACGACGACCAACGCCAACACGACCACGACGACAGCGATCACCACGTCGACGACCACGACGACGTCGTCGCGGCCGTGGCCGCCGCGGCCGTGGCCGTCGTGGAGCCCACGACGACCACGGCCGCGTTAACCTCGGCCGCCTCCGGCGACCCGCGCCGCCGCGGCGCCGGGGCGCCGGCAGGCTCGGTGCCGGCGTGGTGCAGCAGCCTGGCGGCCGCGTGCCGCTTCCTCTTCCCGCGCACCGTGCGGAGGAGACGGGGCGGGGGCGCGCCGCGCCCGCCGCGCCTCGCGGAGGGGAGCGCGTTCCCCCAGGCGCCGACGTCGTCGTCGTCGTCGTCGTCGTCGGCGGCGGCGGCGGCGGCGGCGGCGGCGGCGGCGGCGTCGGCGTGGCCGTCGTGGGGGGGGCGTCGTGGGAGGGCGCGGTCGTCGTGGGAAAGCGCGGTCGCGGTCGGGGTCGTCGTGGTCGTCTTCGAGGGGGCCTCGGGGCTCGAGGATCGAGGGTGGACGCCAAGGTGGGCAGCCGGGAGGCGTCGCGTCGCCGCGGGGGGCTTCCCCTTTTCAAATGTTCTGCTCGGAGCGAGCCTCTGAACGGGTCTCGGGATCGAGCTTTGGTCGGCGAGGAGGCAGGAGGGCGGAGGCAGTTGGGAGGGAGGGCTGGGAAGGGGAGGGGGAGATAAGAGTGAGGGGGGAGGAGGTAAGAGTGAGGGGGGAGGAGTGGCGATGAGGGTGGAGGGATGGTCGCATCGACTCGGAGGATGATGGAGGCTCAGTTCGAGTCTCAGTAGATCCGTTTGCTGGTCAGCAGGGCGACGTCCGCCCTGTTGGGGGCGCCTCGGCCCTGTAGAGCCCCTGGGCCATCGCAAAGGAGGCGGGGGCAGTGTCCTTCAGGACTTGGCCCTGCGTAGGGACGGGGAGGTGGATATGGGGAACCCGAACGTATTGGGGTCGTGACAGAAATCAGGACGGTAGGTGTTTTGTCGTTTTCGGGTTTGTGGGGGGCCCTTACCAAGTCGTGGGCCCGTCAAAAACGACTCAGGATGAGAGCCGGCCCCAGAGACTTGGTCGGGACTTCTGGGTACCCCGTTTTCAAAACATCAGGACCTCACATGTCTGGGGGGAGGAGGTACAGACGTACCCCGCATGGCGTGGCTGGCGGACGATGGGGGCGGTGTGCAGCCGTACGCCCATCAGAATTTGTTCCCAATCATCCCGTGGTGTTGGGTCTCCGTTTTGAAATAACGGTCCCCGCGTCTCCTTCCTCCCGCTTCCTTTTCCCTCCGCCCATCATCATCACCCATGTCGGTACACCCCTCACACGTTTCGTGTCCCCAGAAGGGAGCTCCACCCAAGGTCCCAGTGGCTGCGTTCACGTTTTGGCCGCATGCGGTTCCACCCCCCATTTCGGCACATCAAATTTGGCATTTCACCCGCCCAGTACTGCGCTTCGTGGCCCCATGGGGAGTTCCACCGAAGGTCCCAGTGGCTGCGTTCGCGTGTTGGCCGCATGCGGTTCCCCCCCCCAATTTCGGCACATCCAATTTGGCATTTCACCCGCCCAGTGCTGCGCTTCGTGGCCCCATGGGGAGTTCCACCGAAGGTCCCAGTGGCTGCGTTCGCGTGTTGGCCGCATGCGGTTCCACCCCCGTTTCGGCACATCCAATTTGGCATTTTCACCCACCCAGTACAGCGTTTCGTGGCCTCGTAGGGAGCTCCACCGAAGGTCCCAGTGGGACCGCCCGCATGCGTCCCATACATACACACACACACGCACACACACAATTTAGCATTTTTACCTATCCAGTACAGCGCTTCGTGGCTCCATAAGGAGCTCCACCGAAGCTCCCAGTGGGGTCGCCCGCATGCGCCCCACGCGCCCAATTTAGCAGTTACACAAACCCAGTACAGCGTTTCGTGGCCCATAAGGAGCTTCACCGAAGCCCCCAATGGGATCGTCCGCATGCGTCCCGAAAACCAAATGTGGCTGTTTCACCCACCCAGTACAGCTCTTCGTGGCCCCGTAGGGTGCTCCACCGACGGCCCTTGTGGGACCGCCCGCATGCGTCCCCCACACACCCAATTTCGCATTTGCACCAACCCAGTACAGCGTCTCGTGACCCCATAGGGAGCCCCACCGAAACCCCCAGTGGGACCGCCCGCACGCGTCCCACACACCCATTTTGGCACGTTCACCCACCCAGTACAGCGCTTCGTGGCCCCATAGGAAGCTCCACCGACGGCCCCAGTGGTACTGCCCGCATGCGTTCTCCCTCACCCAGTGCAGCGCTTCGTGGCCCCATCAAGAGCTTCACCGAAGAAGATACTCGCAATTGCGGCACCCACAGCCGCACACGGTCGGGTCCTTCGCCAGGTTTTCTTTTACTTTAAAAACAAGTGTAAATATCCGTGGACTCCAGATTTCCAGAGAACCCAGACCCCCGACGTAGTGATTTTTTCATTACGTCGACCCCCAGAGGTCCCGACCCTTTCCCAATGACCGGCTTGGCATCCTGGATCGTTTTTGACGCCCCCGAGGCCCGGTGAGGGCCCCCGGAGGCCGAAAATTAGGAAAAACCTCCCGTCATGATTTTTTCATTACTCGAGAGGGTCTGGGAAGCCAGAAACTGGACTGGCGGATGGGTGCAGCGCCAGCAGGGGGCACTATAGGGGGCCCGGCTCCCACTCTCTGCGCACGGGCCAGGGCGCCTTCCGTAGAACTCCCGTGGATCGTCGAGGGCCGCAGGCAGACCCCCGCCGCCCAGCTCCTCCTCCTCCTCCTCCTCCTCCTCCTCCTCCTCCGCCGCCGCCGCCGCCGCCGCCGCCTCCTCCTCCTCCTCCTCCTCCTCCTCCTCCTCTCCAGATGTCGGCGGCGAGCGAGGGCGGAGAGGTGAGAAGGGGCGGGCCTTCTCACCCAGACCCCTATCGAGCTATGAAAAAAAACATGACGGAAGGTTTTTCTTGATTGTCGGCCCTTGGGGGCCCTCGCCGGGCCTTGGGAGCGTCAGAAAACAATCCAGGATGCCAAGCCGGTCATGGGGAAAGGGTCAGGACCTCTGGGGGATCGACGTCATGAAACGAGTCATTACGTCGGGGGTGTGGGCAGAGGGCTCGGAAGTCCCCCCGGGTTTCCGAGAAGGTCCCCAAGCCTTCCCCGAAGACAGAAAACATACTTTCTCAGAGGGTGAAGAGTTCCCGAGAAGCCCCGCCGCCTCCTTCTGAAGGCCTTCTCCTTCTCACCTCCCCCCCCCCGCGCTCGCCGCCGGAGGTGTGCCACGGCTGCCGTTTCTTGCCCGCAGGCCGGCGGCGGCGGCGGCGGCGGCGGCCCCCAAGACCGCCCCAAGAGGACCCGAAGACGGCCCAAGAGGCCTCCAAGACGTCTAAGATGGCCTCCAAGACGGCCCCGAAGCGCCCCGAGAGGGCCCCAAGTCGGCCCAGAGGGGCCCCCAAGACGACTCCCGACGGCGTCAGACGTGCCAGGAACCCACCACGATGGCCGAAGTTGGCTCGAAGCTGGCCCAAGACGGCCCAAGAGGCCTCGGGCGCGCAGGCTGAGTCGAGCAGCCCAGGGGCGCCGGGGCGGCGCCTCGAGCGCCGCCAGCGAGAGGCCAGCCGCGCGGGCCTGCAGCGGGCGCGCTCTGCGGCCCGGGTGCGCTCCTCGAGGTCCGGCACCTCGGCAGAATGGAAGCATCGCGACTCGAAAGCGAGCTGAGGGACATAAGGAGTGGAAGCGAGCGTGCGCCCGCGGCCGCGTCGGCTTAAGCGGCCGGCCGCCCAAAGTTGACTGTGACTCACCGCGAGGCAGGCCGTGTGGGCCTGCAGCGGGCGCGCTGCGGCCCAGGTTGCGCTCCCTGAGGTCCGGCACCTCGGCAGAACGGAGGCATCGCGAGCAGTCGCGACGGGAGCCCCAGGCCACACTGTTCTGCCCCACTGTTCGAGCCGAGTCCATGTGTATATATATATATATATGTATACATATATTCGGGGGCGGAAAAGAGGGGGGTGATGACTAGGGGGGGTGGATATCATGGCGGGGGTCATGATATTTCTTCAGATGTCATGGCGCCTCTTCTTATTTCATTATGTCCCTGGCCCCCCCCAAGGGCCGCGCACATGTCGCCAGCCATGATTTGCACCCCCCCTCTTGGACACCCCCCTCGTGGCCGCTCCCGACATATACACAAGACTGCAGTGGCGCTTCGCGCAAGGCACCTTGATCCTTGAAGTCTGGTGCGCAGGCGGAATAGCAGGAAGGTCCAGCCGACAATTTAGCGATGGCTCTTTCTTGCCATTTCCGGCATCTCCGCTATACTAATGTTATTCGTTATCTTTCCTCCATGTTTCTTTTTTCATTTTCGCCATACCCTGCGCATTCTCCCCATCCTCCTCAGCTCTTTTTTGCGGAGGCTCCTCCTTGGAGAGCCTCTTGGGGCCTCACAAAAGTTGTTACAGGCTTTCTTAAGGCCTTCTGGAGGCCTCCTGGGCGTATTCTGGGGGGCCTCTAGGGGCTTTCTCGGGCCACACTGCCTCCAACCGCGGTCTCCCTGAACGACCGGGTCACGATTTGGAATGCTTCGGAGGGTGTCTTGGGGCCATCTTGGGCCGCCATGGGGCTCTCTGAGAGCCATCTTGGACCCGTATTGTGCCGTTTTTGTGCTCTCCTGGACTGCCTGGAAGCCTCTCGGATGGTTGTGGGGCGATTTGGGAGCCTCCCTGGCGGCTTCGGACGCCCAGAAGACCGCCGTCTTGGAGCATCGGGAAGCCGAAAAGAGGAGAACCCCAAAATTTACCAAAATCCAGCAGAAAGTCAATGAGATTTGCCTCTTGGGGCCTTCTTGGGAGTGCTCTTGGAGGCCTCTTTGGGACAGTCCTGGGACATCTTGAGGTCACGTCGGTCACTCTTGGAGCGCTCTTGTGCTGTCTTGGGGGTCTCTGGGACGTCTCCGATGACCCCCTGATCGCCCTAGGTGTGCTTGGAAGGCTTGGCAAAACGGCCTGCGAGGCCCGGGGGGGCCGCTTCGAGGCCCGTCAGGAGGGTCCCAAAGCCCCGGATCGGGGCCCCCAGGCCCACACACATACATACATACATACATACATACATACATACATACAGACAGACAGACAGACAGACAGACAGACAGACAGACAGACAGACAGACAGACAGACAGACAGACAGACAGACAGACAGACAGACAGACATACATACACATGATGGCCCTGGGGGGCCCGATCTGAGCGGAAACGCCTTGCTAGGAAAAATGGAGACGCCAGGATCTCAGGGTCCCGGTGCGTCCAGGAGGAGGGCCATGCAGAGGTGTAAGAACCCGGGTGGCGGTCCGAGCAGGCTCGAGCATGACCAGTGCGCAGCGCCATCCGTGAAGGCTGCACGCCCACGCCAAGAGGGAGGATAGCAGAGTGGAAGATGGAAGAAGAGGAGGAGGAGGAGGAGGAGGAGATGGAGCAAGAGGAAAGGGCGGCGGTGGTGGTGGGGAACTGTGGCTTTGCAGTCAAGGCGTTCTCACATCACATCTCGAATGGGCAAACCGGAGGACAGCAACGCTGGGCCCCAGAAAACACACAAAAGGGATTCATATCTGAATTCGAGAGAGCCACCCCCCCCACGGCTCAATGCGCTTGTGTCTCCGCCCTCTGCTTGCAATTCTGTTGGCCTGAATTCCTGCAAGCGGACCATCAGCATATAAATCACCTGAGGAGGGGGGGAGAGAGGAAGGCGGAAAAGGAAAACCCTCGGCCTCGTCGGGCTCGTACGGTCTAAGGAGGGCGGCGGCTGCCTCAGCCTCCGCGTCCGGCTCGGGCGCGGCGGCTAGGGGGCTGAGCACGGGGCGGTCGAAGGGGGCAGCAGCGGCGTCCCCAGCAGCGGCGGGGAGGACGGGGGAGAGCGAGCCTGGGACCGCGTGGACGCGACAGGGGTGCTGGAGGAGGCGAGATTGGACGTGGCCACCCGGGACGCCATCACGGGACAGCCGGTTTTCTGGGACGTTCGCGTGATCTGCGCACACAGCGACGATTTGTCGCGTCAGCAGGCCCGCGCCGGCCGAGATGGGCTTGCGGCCCGGAGTGCTGCGGACGCCAAGCACCTGCGGTACCCGCCGCACGGAGGGGAGCTGGTCCCCGTCATCTTCGAGGCTGGCGGGCGGCCTGGTGAAGAGACAGTGGCCTACGTCTGGTCCTGGGCGCACGACATGGCCAGAGCCCGCCGGACGGAGGTCATCCGTTTTGAGTGGCACAACAGCTCAGCACGCATCTCCAGACCGGGTACGCGGAGCTGCTGCTCAGCGCGCTGGGCCGGTGAAGGGCCGGCGGCCACGGTGACGCACCGCCGCCGAGGCGAACGGCCGCGGCTAGTACTGCTACCGTTGCCACCACCAACCGCACCACATACGCCCCCGCTAGCACTGCCGCGCACTTTCCGCCACAACCACCACGACCTTGAGCTGGCCACAACCACGACTTGAGCCACTACCACGGCCGCAACCACACCGCGGCGGCTGCCACGACGCCACCACCACGACCGCAGGCGCCAGCGACCGGCGCCACGGCTACCACGTGCCTACCACGACTACCACGGCCACGACCACGACAACGACCACCACGACAGCCACCAGCACGACCACCGGCACGACCCCCACGACCGCCCCCCGCCCTCCGTCCCCCCTCTCCTTCCTCCCTCCCTCTCCCTCCCCTGCAGGGCCGCCCTTGCCGCTGCGCCTGTCGCGCATTTTTCGGCTGTGTCGAGCGTGCGCGCAAAGGGTGGTGGCGGAAGTGGCCCCGACCAAAGGGGATGCGCCACCCACCCCGTGCCGCAGAACCGCGTTTCGGACTCCGGCCCGACACGCCTAGCCCCGGTGGACACGCACCTCAAAGTTAGGTGCGTGCCGGGGCTGCGCATCAGCCGCAGGAGGAGGAGGAGGAGGAGAAGGAGGAGGAGGAGGAGGAGGAGGAGGAGGAGGAGGAGGAGAGAGGGAGGGAGGGAAGAGGAGGGAGGAGGGAGGGAGGGAGGAGGAGGAGGAGGAGGGGGAGGAGAAGAGGAGGAGGAGAGGAGGAGGAGGAGGAGGAGGAGGATGAGCAGGACGGCGGCGGCCGCACTCCGGCGCCCAGGAGCCTCCACCAGAGCTGCAGCCTGGGCGTCGGGCGGGCGGCCCACCACCTCCAGCAGCGCGTGCTGGCGCAGCACGCACACAGCCCGGAGGCGCTGAGGCGCCTGGAAGGAGCCCGCCCCAGTGGGCCGCCTCCTCCTCCTCCTCCTCCTCCTCCTCCTCCTCCTCCTCCTCCTCCTCGTCCTCCTCCTCCTCCTCCTCCTCCTCCTCCTCCTCCTCCTCCTCCTCCTCCTCCTCCTCCTCCTCCCCCTCCCCCTCCTCCTCCTCCTCCTCCTCCTCCCCCTCCTCTCCTCCTCCTCCTCCTCCCCCTCCTCCTCTGCTGCTCCGCTCCCCGCTGGCGGACCCTCCTCCTCCGCCTCCTCCTCCTTCTTCCCCATCCTCCTCCCCCTCCTCCTCCTCCGCCTCCTCCTCCTCCTCCTCCTCCTCCTCCTGCTCCTCCCTTTCCTCCTCCTCCTCCTCCTCCTCCTCCTCCTCCTCCTCCTCCTCCGAGTGAGGCGCTTGCGATTCGACCCGCCGGGCGGGGCCGCGATTCCGAGTCGATCCGCTTCGGCATACTATCGAGCCCGCCCTGCGGGGGTGCCGGCGGTCCCCAGGCATCCTCCGATATCTTCCCTCTTCCTTCTCCTCCTCCGTCTCCTCCTTCTCCTCATTATCCTCCTCCCTCTCCCTCCTCCCTCTCCTCCTCCTCCTCTCCTTCTCCTCCTCCTCCTCCTCCTCCTCCTCCTCCTCCTCCTCCTTATCCTCCTCCTCCTCGTCCTCCTCCTCCTCCTCCTCCTCCTCCTCCTCCTCCACCTCCCCCTCCTCTCCTCCTCCTCCTCCTCCTCCTCCTCCTCCGTCTCCTCCTTCTCCTCATTATCCTCCTCCCTCTCCCTCCTCCCTCTCCCTCCTCCTCCTCCTCCTCCTTCTCCTCCTCCTCCTCCTCCTCCTCCTCCTCCTCCTCCTCCTCCTCCTCCTCCTCGTCTTCCACCTCCTCCGAGTGAGGAGGAGGAGGGCGAGGAGGAGGACGAGGAGGCGGATATGATGTTTTCAATCAGCGACCCCAGAGTTCCCGACCCTTTTCCCTGGAGGCTGGAGGCAGTTTTGCGTCCCGGATTCCAGGCCTTATAATGGGCCCTGGAGGCCGAACGAGATCGAGGAAACGCGCCCGGATTGAACAAATCATCTCGTCGGGGATTTGGGTCCGCTGCGGATCGATTCGAAACGCCGGGCGGGGCCGCGATTCCGATTCGATCCGCCTCGGCATTCGAGCCGACTTCGGTGCAGCAATTAGGCCTGCCTTTCTCGGGGGCCTTCGCCCGGCGTCGGCTTTCCCAATCTGGCCGTAGGTTCGAGGCTCGAGGATCGGTGGGATGAGCATACACGTCGGTCCTCGAAAGCAAGCATTCTTGGGCTCTCAGTTCCCCATATACGCGCCCTCCGACTCCATGGATCGATGTTTTTTTTATGCTGCGTTTTGTTTTCTCTGGGCGGGCCTGGGCCCAATCTACTTAATCCGCCGTCCTACATCCTGTTGTTGCCTGCTTCTTCCGACCGACGTGTAAGCTTCCGGAGGTCCGCGCGGATTTCTCGCATTGGCGCTGGGCCACCTGGGCGGCGCCTGGAGCGCCGGACCCACAGGGGGTCCAGCGAAATGAGGGTGGGTGGTGCCATAGATCTGGTGCAATCGATTTGTAGGGCTGCAGTAGATTTGGGGCGTGCAGTGCATTCCGGTGCGCGCATGCATGGCTGGAGTCTCGCGTGCAATACATCGGTCGCAGTCGATTGCAATCCAATTCTGCAGGACAGTACATGTGCAATGCGCTCGCCCAAGATCTATGGCACCACCCCCTTTCGGCTGGACCCCCCCCCCCTTTTTGGGCCAACCACAAACATGTGGCGCTCCGGAAAAGGCCTTGCCTTCGCGGACCTACGGAGTTGGCATCTCTGCCTCGGCGGAAGGAGGGCGGCGGACGCGAAAGGGGGGCCGCTCAGCCTGCAGAAGGCCGGCGGATTTCGGTAGCATTAAATCGGGCTTGTCCCTGTACAGGAGGAACATTCAGAAATAGTTTTAAATGATAGTCTGGGGGCGATTGTTTTGGTATTTGGAGCATTTTTGGCGTATTTTTCATTCTTCGCCTAAGATCCCCCTGTAGGGGGACATTGCCCGACCTAACGGTATAGCCGGCTGGGTTCCCGGGTTCCCGGTTCAGGGTCCCTAGGTTCCCGCTTGTTGGCTCCGGCTGGGTTCCTGGTCGATCTCCTTATCGATCGGTCTCGCCATCGATCTCACTGCCTACCTCTCTATCGATCGCACAGTCGATCTCACATTCGATCTCACAATCGATCTCACTATAGACCGCGCGAGCGATCTCACGATCGATGTCACGATCGATCTCACTGAATCGACGTCTCGGTCTCACGATAGACCTTACGATTCGTCCTCCCTATCGTTCACACTATCGATTCGATGATCGATCCCACTATCGATCTAGGTGCCCATATCACGAATTTTCAGAGCATCCACTGATTGGGGTTTTCCTCTGGTGCAATTTCGTTTCAATGGGTGTCCGAGCGATGACAGACTGCAGAGTATACCTCACGAGGCTGGGATGGCGGCAATTAGCGCACTGAAGGCATCATTTGCTGCCATCCCGCCGTTGCATGCATGCCGTACGCAGACATTTTGCTGAGGAACGCTCCGGCAGGCGCGCGAAACGTCGCGCTTGCATCAGACAAAGCGTTGTCTTCAGTGAGCCAAAAAATGTTGTTTTCAGTGGGCTTCATTGCCGCCAAGAACTTCTGGAATCCAAAACCCGGATAGAGGAACGCCAGACGTCTGTCGAACAGTTTCTTCAAGGAGCTCTGGATGCTCCTGGAAGGAGCTTCCGAAGGATATTCTGGAGAGCTTCAGGGCAGAACGCTAAAAGATAGGCCTGCCAGGACACGCTGCGAGTTCAGGCCGGCCGGAAGCTGGAACGAGTCCCGGAGCTACATTGCGGTGCCGGCTTCTAGTCTGAAACCCTCTTAGCCCTCTGCGAGCTATCCGGGAAAATGTTTGCCTTCGGTGCGTTCGTCCCCCCCCCCCCCCCTCCCAGGATGTCAAGGTTTGCGCCGGACATCAAGCGTTCGGTCAATTGCATCGGCCTGTCCAGATGGCCCAGGTTAGGGCAGATGGCCCCGTCCTCGTCGTACTCTTCCTCCTCTTGCTGGCTTTAAGCCGGGCATGTCCCTCCACAGGAGGAGTAGTAGTAAACGATTGTAACACAAAATAATCAGGGTATGATTATGATTATTTCTGACTAGTTTGGTATGTTGTTTTGACTATTGGCATGCTTCTTCGCAACTCCTCCTGTATGAGGACATGCCAGGCCTAATGCTGGGTTTCGTTTACCTGTACCGCAAGATTCAGCCCGCTCTTTGCCAGCATGGACCCGCTTCCCGGGCCTGCTCCCCCAGGCCCCCTTGGGCGCCAGGCGGCTCGCGCTGTTTCTCATGCAAGGTAGCCCCGGCACCCTCGCCAAGGCCACGTGCGCTCCTCCTCCGCCCTCTCCCAGCCGCCGCTCTGGCTCGAGGCTTTGGGAGTCCCTTACCAGGTAAGGGACGAGCCTCGCGGGTCGGCCGCCATACGTGCCAGCCAGTCGGGCAGTCGGGTGCCCACCCCTGGCAGGCCGTGCTGCCGCCGTCGCGTGGCCAGCGCCACGGTTCGGCGGCATCTCCGCGAACCAGCTTGGCATCGGCGTGCTCGTGAGCGCCGCAGCCAGGCTCACACAGTCTTGCGCCTAGCAGCAGCCAAGCAGACGCTGATTTCTCATCACAGCAGTCAACGGATGTCGGCAGCGCCATGGTATACACGCAAAGGGCAGTGGTTCTGCTCGTTGTGTGGTTCCTCGCATCCTGCGTCTACGGCCTGGTGCACCAAGTGCTACGCCAAGGGTCAAGGATCGAGACGCAGAGGCCGCTCTACTTCTCGCGCCCCCTCTCGCTCCAGCCAGGGCGAGTCGACCCCCGCCGCCGCTGCTGGCTCGAGCGAGGAGTAGAACCTCAACACTCAGATGAAGAAGAGAGTGGCCAACTTAGCGGAGGCCAGAGCTCATCCTGCGTGGGTAGAGCCGCCAGCGCTGTCAGTGGACAGAGAAGCTCATCGTGCCCACATGAAGTCAGCCATGCAGGCGCTGGAGCAACAAATGCAGGCCCAAGAAGCTATCACGACGGTGCCGTCGCCGATGCTCGAGGCCAAGCGCCAGGAGCTCGCGGCGTTCCAGTTCATGCATCTGTACGCGTTCCTGCCGAAGGAGCGAGTCGCCAACCAGACCAATTTCCTCAGCCGCGTGGCCCGCAGGTTCGAGGAAGCGCAAGAGGCCGAGAGAGCAGCGGAGATTGCTCTCACCATCGCGCAAAGGGCGAGGGAAACCCTAGCCACGGAGGTCACCCAGGCGCAGGAGCTTCTGACGACCTTCGAGGAGTTGGCCAGGGAGGAGATCAAGACGGTGACATTCGAGGAGTCCCCGAACATGTCGGCCACGCAGGCGGCGTCGCCGCCTTTGATGCCGCCTTCAGGTCCAGCAGTGCCGCAGGTCATCGCTGAGCTGCAGGCGGGCCAGGTCGCGTTGACATCGTCCCTCTCTGCCCTGCAGCACACCATAGTCTCGCTGCAGCAGTCGCTCAGTCAGCTCGTCATCCAGCAGCAATCGTCGCCTTCCCCATCCGTGGCACCACCTTCGGGTCCAGCGCAGCCCGCTACACCATCGGCAGCCACAATGGTTCCAGTTTCACACACCGGCAAAGGCGGAGTGATCCGCCCCATCACGGGCAAGGCTTCGCAGGCGCGCAACCAGCTCGAGAAGGTTGCCCGCCAACCTGGTCAACAGAAGCTACGCCTACCATCGAAGCCCAGCGGGCCTCAGGACGGGCAGATCGAGGAGGACCCGGGCGGCGAGCCGCCCCACAGGAGTCAACGCCTGGCGTTCGACGCCGAGGAGGAGATGAACGCCCCCAGGATGCGGGGCGCCCACGAGGCCGAGGGCGACGTGTTGGAGACCTCCTTCGAGGCTGCAGCAACGCCAGCGAGTTTTCGCTGACCCGAGCATCTTGTACGCATGGAGGTCAGTCTGAAGGTCCATCGGGATTTCACA